GACAATCTGATCGATTTCTCTTACATTGTGTGCCGAGACTGAAACTTTTCACCTCAAGCAAATCTCCGTCGCACGGTCCAAACAAACATAGCGAGCAACTGAGCTACTAGTATATGTCCGTGCATAGTTAGTCGATTAACTATGGTCCGTGAAAGACACGAAAGGATTCTAAAGCACACTTCACTCTGATTGGGCAGAAAAACACAAAGATGTTCTGGCACCAATCAGATGGCAGAACGACTGCGACCGTTTGGAATTAGTCTTGTAAGACAATGTTCCCTGGGGCTCTTCATGCCCTAACTTGAAATCGACTCAGCCCCTGGGTCTCAGAGGATGATTTCACCCGGGCCTTTGTCTTTAAGATGCTAAAACTGCGAGGCATTTTGATTGATTTTTTAATACACTTTAATCAACCAATGTCATTGGGGTTTGTACAGTCCACCCTGTGACTAGTTATTTACCAATTGCTAGTGGATATAGTTGCATAATGTGCTGTACTTACTGGGAAAGTATCCTTTAGCGTATTTAGGAGTTAGATCTGGGTAATCTGTGGGTTCTTTGTAAGTTGGTATAGGTTTTAGTTTAAGATGACTGTAGACAGTTTTTTTTAGATCATCTTTTTCTGCTCTATGAGTTTTGTCCATCTTCATGAAATCGCTGACAGCCTGCTCTGTTGCTTCTCTGTAGCGAGAACCATACAGGAATCGCATTGTGGGAACGTAACCTGAAACCAATAGCATTCAGTCATCTTGGGCTTTTACATGCGTATGTCCCCATTTTCATGTATTCAGCAAAGATGAGCTTTCGTGACTGTTCTTATTCTATTATTCAAACAAATGAAAGATATGCCTCAGCTGCATAGGCATAGGAATATATATTCCATGACTGATGCTGTTTAGTGCAGGGATGATTTGACATTTAGGGCTTGTTTATAAAATTCAGTCTTAAACTAAGCAATGAGATGTCATCGAAAAAGTTTGATTTTGTAACTTGGCTTCTTTGCCAGTATTTGTATTTCTCTAGCTAAGCAACAAGGTTAAAAACAATTGTAGGAAAGTTTCCGACTAACCTCCGTCGTGCACGAGTATTCCCCATTCTGAAATCGAAAATCTTGGACGTTGAGCATAGTGCCATTCTTCATGTTGTCGAGTAAATTCTGCATTTCCGACCCACTCCTTTCGTTTTTCTTGCTTAGAAACCGCGCGCGTTCGCTTACGATCATTTATGTGTTAGAAAGCACTAGTATCGCAGAGGTCAGTGGTTCGAATCCCGTACAGGCCTGATTTTTTTCAGGTCTGATTTTCGCTATTGCATAAATAACGCTCTCTATTGCGAGGATCGTGCATCATATGTAAAGCAACGTTTATTCAAAAAAGGCATTCAACTGTCAACACTTCAGCTTAAAAATAAATTTTAAGCCCATATCACCACACCGGCAATACTTATTTACACAGCTGTGACACACAAGAGACAAGTGCGTGGAAAAAATCCCTTGGAACGTGACATACGTTTGATTAAGATTTATGTCTGTGGGGGGTCCCGAAACATGTTCAGAAGCAGTAAGTGAAGAGTACATATGGTTCTTAAAATATATTTACGTTGTACCATGTCAAAGGCGGGATTTTGTTATCTTTATCGAGAACGTAACAAACATCATTTCAATTTTTTGATGAAAAACCGCCAAAAAGTGAATAGGTATTCGGTGGGGAGCGTTTTTGTTTGTCTTTGTTCGCCTGCCCGCTTTTCATCCCTCTGCGTTTATTTTTTTACCTAAAATAAGGGGGGGGGGAGGGTGGAAAGCTACAAAGTTAACACACACTCCACCATGATAGTACATGTATAAAGAAAAAAAAAAGGACTATTTTGTTGGCAAGTGTGCATACAAACAATAAAGTACAGGTACCTTTGAAAAGTAGTTATATTTCAAGTGCACTACATGAAATACATGAAAGCGCAATTTTTACTATATCATGACTTAACGCTTAAGGACTAAAGCTAAAATCAGTCGTGAACTAGGGAAAACTGGCCCCCACAGAATGACCATGCGCCAGTGGAAGAGTGAGTCTAATTCTCCTTGTAAGTCACCAATTGTAGCCAAACCAATATAATGGAACGGAACTTGCAAGACAAAAGCATCTCTCTGGACTTATATGAAGATTTGAGCGTGCAAAGAAATTATTTTTCATGTCTATTGTCTTTTATACTTAACCTGTGTAGTACGGAACCATGGCAGCCGTGAGTTTGTTGTCTCCATTCGGTTGAGGCAGATAAGATTGTCTTTCTCGTGGATCAGGTAAAGTCATCGGCACAAGTTTCTCATTTCGCATGTGTCTCTGCGGCGAAGTATTAAAAGAAAAGTTTGAAGATTTGGTTAACGATTTGGTTAACGATTTAACAACAAAAGGGCCGAGCTGTCGGTAAATGAATGAATTTAAACTTGACATTTGGTAACAACGTGCTTGTATATATATTCTTTTTCTAATTAAAATAATCTTGGCACCTTCGATGGAGGTCTTACAACTTCATTGAAACTTCATGACGCTTTTAAGCAAGGAGTGTTTAGGTGAAATTACACGCAAAATATTGAGCTTATTTTTGAAGAATGAGCTATTTCCAGGTAATTGAAAACACATCATAGTATTCGCTTCAAGCATAAAGGCGTTTCAGGCATAAGAACGCTTTTAAAAGATTACTAAATAATCGGTTATTCTTTTGAAGTGGTTTATACGAGCCAGTCACCATGGTGTATTCAAAGCCATTAATCTAGTGGGTTTGTTTGGTTGGAGTTGAATGAATGAAACCTTCACAACTTTTCAACTTACTGTCGTGAGTTTATCTGTGGCTATTCCATACGTGTGGCCGCATTCATTTTTCAACTGAGGGCAGTAACCGCGGTATCTGGATAGATGAAGCATAAACATATATACTCGCATTAATTTCTTGATTTACTAACTGTTTTGGTAATGGCCCACTGGCTCAAGTTTTAAGTCTAAATGCATCATAGCTTTCTTGATGAACAAAAAACCCTCAGTATGATCTAGATAGTCTTTGGCAGAAATTATCGTTTCAGCGAAGATCTCATGCACTTAAGTCAGAGGTTTTGCTCAAACATTTCAATATGTTGCTGCCGTAACCGGGAATTTCTGCAGAAATCTTTCCCTAAAACCGAACTTCATAATTTTCATTTCAGCAAGAAAGGTCCCATTTCGGAATCTCTTCTGGTCGTTTTCTATTTATTGTATTTCGAACTTTTTAATGTGAGGATTTAAGTTGTTCTTAGAAGGACCTATTTCCTTTGTGTTTACTGAATTTCCCACTTCCTCCTTTTTTGTTTTTTGAACTTCGTGACTTTAAAACTAAATTTTCCTTTCAAGAGCTCAGTGATCGAGTGAGTGACATACATAATTATATTTCCTACCGTTAAACTCTAAAATTTTCATGCTCGCAAGGCTTCTTCAAAATTTATTGCGCAAAAGCTTCTTGTTCTTGGTGTAATCATTGATTACCTTAACTGAGTGACTGTTTTCTCAAGTTCGACTTATTGTACTTTCTACTTAAAAACAAACTACCATTCAAACGTGTTACTAGCTAAATAATCTACTTGAAGGCAGATGCTAGCACCAAACTATGATAAAATCGGCAACCATAAACATTTTTACAAACCCTGGCAAATTGCTGGCTTTGTGAGGGTTGGTTAATTCTGTGAAGCCCATTTTTGACGCGTCAAACTTCGACTGCGATTAGTAGTTTCTGTTGAATTGCTGAGCAAACTTTTTGGCTTTGGTTCGTTGTCAAGGTACACAATCTCCCGTAGGTAGACATTACCGCTGAATACGTAATTTACTGCTAAAGCACCTTAAACAAAGACAGTTGCGCTCTCCGCCAATGGGATTACTCTAGGCTCTGTTAATGGGTAAACTATGCACAAAAGGTGTCACTTACCGTCGAAGGTTATTAGTTAAGTGTTATATGGGACAGCTGTTCTGCGTTTATGCTAATTTGACAGATCCACGACACGCCAATTTCACAATAAAGGTGAAGCATCTTGCGCGTTTCTTGACATATTCGACGGGTTGAATGCGAACGAAAGGGAAAAGTTTTCTAAATGCTGGGATTACTACAAGATTGCGTTCCACTTTATCACAAAAACGTTTGATGATTTTAAACGAAGTTTACCTTTCGTTGAAAATTTTTTCATTTCCTTCCGTTTTCTAAAAACTGGCTGGAAAAGTGATAACTTATTTACTAGACATTTAATCATCTTAAAGGCGATGCGAACCATTAAAAGAAAAACCACAAAACTTGAGAAATCTAAGAGTTCATAAGAAAAAAACAACAATATTTTCAACGTTAAGTCGGCAGAGATTACTTTGTCTGGGTTCTTAAAGTCCTTAAAATACGTTTCCCATAAAATGTATGCGTGTTACCATACTCTCTGTTTTTTCAAAATTTTGATTAACAACAAGGAATAGGAGACTATCCGCCTGCGGTATGACAGCGGATGTACTTTTTCCTAAGATGGCGGAACTCGTGTAACATGCGTTTGATCGATCGAGCCAAAGCAAAATATCATGTCGATGATTCATTACGCGAGGTTAAGGGGACTAATTTGGAGAGTAAACAGACTTAACTTTAACAACCTTTCAAGGAATAAACATTTGTCCAAAGTTGTGACATCACGGCTTCATGGTAATGTCCAATGCTGGAACAAACTGAACTTATTTCGAAGATCTTTCAGAGCGTCGGCTCTACTTCACCAGGAAGATAGCGATGTAGATGAAAAAAGTCCAGAAATTGTTGAAGGTACCAGTGGAATCTCACCAACAGGTGTCGATCTCGATACAATTTTCAACGACGAGTCTTCACTTGCAGATCTCGAGTCCTCAAAAGTTGAGAGTGTTACCGATGTCTATGAGTTCGAGCAACCGATTCCTAAGTGTCTTGGTTGTGGAGCTGCTTTCCAAAGTGAGGATCCCGCGCAGGGTGGTTACGTTATGTTTTCAAAGAATCCGGTCACAGGTGACAAAAATCCGGTATCTGAGTGGACTGCCAGAACGCTGGTTTGTCAGAAGTGTTTTAACTTGAAACATTACAATGAGCCCTTTCCCATTACCATAACCTCAAGCGAAATCATGGAGTACTTGGGGAACATAGAAAGAAGAAAAGGATTAATCCTCTATGTTGTAGACATGATGGATCTCCCTGGAAGTCTTTTTCCGAATCTTCTGCAAACTGTAGGTGAAACAAAAAGGATCATTATTGTTGGCAATAAAGCTGACATGCTTCCAGTGGAAGGAACGCATACTGGAAAACAAGAGCAACATTTGAGAGAAGTGCTCTTAAAACTGTGCCAAGCTCATGGCTTGCAAGGTGCTAACATCAAGAGTATGTGCTTGATCAGTGCCAAAACTGGCTATGGTATCACACAACTGGTGAGCAAAATCAGTGAACACTGGGATGACAAGGGAGACATTTATCTTATTGGCTGTAGTAATACTGGAAAAACGTCACTATTTAACCTGTTATTGGATTTATTTAGTGTTCATAAGAATGCTGACTTATTGCAGAGGGCTACAGTCAGTTTATGGCCATGCACCACACAAAGAATGATAAGGTTTCCCATTGGTCACATGATGTTAAGAAAGTTGTTGAGGAGAATGCATGAAGGTGTTTATGAGGTGGGTGTTTCTCTTTCTTTACCTTTGAGGTAAAGGAAAAACACTTAATGATTTAGGAGAGTTTCCAGAATTCTAAAAATTACTAGTTATCGAAGCAAAAGGACAGTTAATGAGAAATACTTAGCTAATAATGAATCATCATGTTAATCTTCCCTATTCAATGGGCAGGTGGACTTAGAGCTGGTGGCCAGGTGACCCTAATTGGTGTTATAACTGAATGGCAGAATGACAGATTATCTAAAAATGCTGAATGATGCAGTATCCTAGAATGAGAGTTGATAGACTATCCTAAAATGCAGTATGATTAATTATTACATGACTCGGGCAGTCAGAGGGCCAATAACTAAAATCAACCAATCAAAATGCTATATTCCCCGTCCAATATTCTCTAAGTATTGGACCGGGCACTGTCCCGAATGTCCCGAATGATACTGTACTTGTGTCCCTTTGAACTTCAGTCGTATAATAAATCTCTTCTTAAGCAAGCTTGCTTGGGACCGTACTGGAAGAATATTGGCCCTCGGTCTTTTTTGTACAGACCGAGCTGCGCTCGGTCCATACTGTCAAGACCTCAGGCCATGTTCTCCCAGTATGGCCCTTGCGCTTAGTTAATAAGATATATATATACTCAAAGCAGAACATAGCTACACTGAAGAAAGCTCAAACAGATAATGGGAGACAGCTTCTTTGGTGGTGTAGGATATTCGTAGTGATAAATGAATCAAATTATTGATCCAATTGGCTCTACTAAAGATACTGAGAAAAAAAGCTGAAGAGGCGATACAAGGTAGATTGTGAGTTATAGAGTGACTATATTTGGGGTGACGGATGTAGCTAATTCTTAAGGTGACAGACAGTGCATCTAAAGCTTACAACCTACTCTTTATTGACTTTTTCTTTTTCTTAACACCATGTAACTGTTTTAATGTAAACTATCTCCTCAGGATATCTAGAACTTTCTGTTTAATCTTTAAATACTAATTTACATGTAACACCAGTGAGAAAGTTGGACAGTCAAGTTCAAAATCAAAATCTGTAATACTATCATTAGGCTACAACATCTCTCCATTATGTTCATTCAGCTCTGAAATCTATATTAGGAAGTGCATGTGGGACAGTTTCTTTTGCAAAAGTCGTTCTCCACCAAGCTAGCGAGATCTCTTTTCCTAATATTGGCCATTTCATCTTCTCCAGCAGAAACCAGATGATGTAGAATATCAAATTGATGATGAGATCATTTCCAAAGAAGAAACAAGCTACCGAGAGAAAATGAAGAAAAATTATATTGGAAAGGGTAGTTCAACAGCATTAGTTCCTTCTCAAACAGGCCTTGATCTTTTTAAGCCAAGTTTTGTGATGTATGAACCTAACACTTCAAACAAGAACCAGAGATGGCTGTATGATACTCCAGGAATTATCAGTGAACACCAGGTACAAATGAGTTGTCCCATTTTATTAGATGAGTGGAAATGTCATGCTTTGTCTGTATGTCATGGGAATATCATGAATATACAGTAGTTAGATTTGATCTTTATTATAATGTTTCAAGAGAATGAAAAATATCAGCTTCTTTATTGTTCTGTCTTCTAGGTAGTAGAAATATATTTTTAAATACAAAGTTTAGGTCCCACTGAGGTTATTATGAAATTCAGATAACTTTGAATATCAGAAATATAATGAAGTGTTAATGTATTGCAAGTAGAAAGCCAATCAGAAGTGAGAAAACAAAACTGCAAACAGTAATGATAATTAGCTTCAGATGTGGTTTAACCAACACAATCTCAGGAGTGACTTAATTTCTCCTTACAATATCAATACAATACAAGAATGAGGCAGACAAATAGACAATGAAAAATATCAATTGGTAGACTATTACTCGATCACACACCAAATTCTCTGAACTGGTATCATAAGAAATATATGGCAGACAGTGGAAAGATTTTTTATTTTGATCTTGGAAGTAAAAGGGTTTAGGTTTGCTCACATGTCATGAACTTTATTGTGATTGGTCAGTACCTAGTTGGCCTGTCAGTATCAAATCAATGTGTTCAAGCTTTTCTGAGTCTCACAGCAAATAACAGTGGACAGATTGCAAAATACCTCTACAAAGAGCTTTCGTATTGCAAATGAAATAATTACAATATCATACTTTGTCTAAAATGGTTTCCTTGGTGAATGATGCCTAACATTTCATGCTTTCTAAATCTCATTTTGACAGATCACAAATCTCTTGACCATGGAGGAGCTAAGACGCTTGAATCCAAAACTGTGGTTTGTACCCAGGACCTTTATTCTTAAACCAGGCTTTTCCTTACTACTTGGTGGCCTGGCCAGAGTGGACTATCTCCAGGTGTAGCTTGATGTGAAAATATTGTGTAATTTGTCTTTTAATTTTCTTTTTTTTTTTTTAATCTAAAACATTCACAATCAGTTTGATTTTATTTTCATGATTATCACAGTGAATACAAGACAAGGAAAATGAAAATAAACTTTTTTTAAAATTTTCAAAGCAAGGAAAACATTTGAGCCATAACACATCCATGAGTCTTTCTCTTTGATTTTATCATTTCCCTTATTAGTGAAACTTGTGTAACACACCTAAATAATGGAAATGAGGTTAATTGCTAGTTTTTTTCTCGTATTTCAAAATGATCTTTTGTTTATTGAGACCACCTGTTATATTTCTTTTTTATTTATCGAAAGAACTAGTTATTAAGTTTTTACAAACAGTTATTTTTTTCACATTATAAACTTGTAAACAAAAAGGATACAAAGCCCTTTCTGTACAGTCGTTAATACTCGTAGAGGTCCCAAGGTTATATTTGTCCTTGCAGAGAGAATCAAATATCTTGAAATGATGTAGTTTGAAGAAAATTTTTCCATTTCAACTGCAAAGAAACCTAATTACATGAACTTTTCAGCAATCACAAAGGTGATATTTTACATGGACATGTGAAATTACGTTGTTGTTTTTTTAAACTGTTCAATGATTATTCATTAATTAGATAAAAAGACGCAGTCCAAACGGTGAATGGGATGCCATTCCAAAGGTTCGTTACATAATTACCTGTTTCTGAAGTTACTATGCTTAGCACTGCAATATTAGGAAAGGACCTTGGAATATCTCGGACTCTTTTCCAAGAAGTATTGAAATTGTTTTGTGGTTAGGTCACAATGGACTTACTGCGCTCTGTACACCGGGAGTTTTGTTAAATAATGCACTCCCTTATAACGTAGTCTAGAAACTTTCCAGAATTCGGAGTACCTCTTCCCTAATGCGTTCGAGATTTGTATTCTTAGGGAAAATATTTATTACAAAATCTCTACAGTGTGTCCTAACAAGTCTGAGGAACGATTTCACGCGTAGCAGCTTCAAATTACTGACGCACGTCAGAAAAACGATTCAATTCATAATTGTCATTCGTTTGTTGGCATACTTTAATTCCCAAGTTTTTCCAGCTAAATTTGACAAGAGTCGGTCAATAAGAATCGCAGTGCGCGTGTTAACGAAGAGCTATAATAAGGACGTCTTGAACTTGTTTTGGATTGTATAATGTCATATTCTGTGCCACTTACTAGGTAGTTTTCTTCGCACTTTTTCAGGCAATCGAGTCTGTCTTCTTTACTGTTGTCGCTTCTCCTAATTTACCAGTCCATATCTGCAGTGAGGAACGTGCTGTTGAAGTTTACGACAAACACGCGGAGACAGAACTACTTGGGGTAAGATTCTCTCGAAGAGTTCATCAAACCTTTTGTTTCTCATCACATCGACGAGTACACAAGTTATGAGAATTTAGTAAATCATCACCTATGAGATAGTCAAACGGTTCACCTATTGTGGAGTACGTTCTTATTGCTGGGTACGTATGTTAGCAGTAGATTTGTTAAATCACTTTGGTAATCCCACCAGAAAACCTTAACTATTGGACGCCTGAATCAAACATCGAGGTCACCAGAATAAACGAAATGATCATCAACTAAAGACGATCTCGCTTTTTAAACCAATTCTCAATGTCAAGACCTAAGGAAATGTATAGGGAACAGTATGGGGAATATGTCTCTTTATTATGTCTGTTTTCTTTACAGATACCAGTTGGTGGTAAAGAACGCATGGAAACGTTTCCCCCGTTAGGATCACAAGAATTCACCATTAAGGGAATAGGCTGGGATGCGAGTGCCGCTGATGTGGTTCTTTCCAATGTTGGTTGGGTGGCTGTAACAGCAGGCAATGATTCGTTGGTGACACTGGAAGCGCACACTCCTAATGCAATTGGGCTCCATGTTCGACAGCCGCCTTTGCTACCAACTAGTGTGAGGGCAAGAGGTAAGTAGTTAACCTGTTGGATAGGGGGGAAATTTTAATTCTTCTGAATGCGTAAAGAGGAATCGTGATAGCAAATGTATCTCCTTCCATTTTCATCACAAGTCGCTAGGTCAGGTGATTTAATTTGTTTGGCATTTTCCACGTTTTAAATGACTCGAGCACATATGAATTGACTGTCGTAGAACCAAAACTAAAGTAATCACAACAGCGAATCAGAACAATGGTTTACGTCATCATTAGGCAAGAGGACTCAAATTGATAACAAGTGACCTACCAAAAGCGCGGAAAAACCTGGCCGACAAAGTAGCAATTGATTTTCGTTTGGCGTCTGATTGGTTTAGTTTTCATGACTTGGAGGGGTCTGCAGGTATTTGAGACAAAGCAAAGTGGTTTTGGAAGCAAGTCATTCTTTTCTTATTACTTTGTCTCACTCTTGGAACTGAATGAAACAACAACATTTTTATTAGAGAACTTTCGGTGGAGTTGATATTGATCGTTGGCCGGTTGTTCATGAGACTCGGGATCAGTAATATCTCGAATGCATTAACCAAAAATTTCAGGAAGTGTATAATGACGAAATCTTGCTTAGTTTACATGGTGTCATTTTTCAAGGTAACCGTGGAGTCAAATATCAAGGGCACATCAGTCGTGAACGATATGAAGCCACGCGGAAAAGGAACCCTCAGTTTATAACCAAAGCACGGAGGCTGATACCCGCAGAATCTCAGTGGGTCGAAGAGATCACGATTAAAAGAAAACAACAGAGACTTCTGTTCAAAGTTGAACGGCGAAAGAGAGAGAAGGAATACAATCTCCTGGAGGGGAGCGCTGTCAGCGATCCTCCAAACATACCAGGAGCATCGTGGCTTCCTCTTCCCAGGAGAAAGTTAGAAGACGCAGAAGAAGAGGAGGAGGAACTCAACAAACTCACTGAATAAATTTCCGACTCGAATTGATCGCCTAATATATTTGAAAACTATCGTTACGTAGGTGTTTTGATTTGAACTGACACACGTGGGTACACCCACTTGAAAAGTGTCAAGAGTTTAGCATGTTAAAAATTGGACTCATGGTGTATCTGCGCTTGCTTGACATTTTGATGTAAATTATCTTGGGAGAGTTGTAAAGCAATTCGTTTCCAATTATTTACTCGCGGTAAGACATTTGAAGCGCTGACTCTTAGGGTTTGAGCCCTTCGTCTGATTGTGGGTTGCGTGTATGAATACATATGTATATTACGGTCAATGGAACATATGAGTTCAGTAAAGGAAATGTTGAGTTTTAAGAAATAGC